TAATATTAGCATTCAAAGCAATAACGCACATTCAGGAAAGGCTTGTTGCTGTTGAAATGTTATGTCTAATTTTACATTGCTTTGACTACCATAAAACAAAATGACGTCCACCTCCATTGTATTGAGTTTGTGTCATAAATATCAATGATGGTATCAAGTATTATTTTATTATTAGGCAAGGCAAGTTGAATTATATAGCAGCTTTCAACACAAGGCAATTCAAAGTGCTTTACAAAAATGAAAAACATTAAGAGCATTAAGAAACAGTGCAGCGGAAACACATTATACATTGCGTTTTATTACTTTATTAACAAAAGGTCAAACGTTTTTCGATAAAATGTATGTTTTTTAGGTATCACTACACTGTTAACTAGAGGGTCTACCATTGAAAAAAAGAGAAAGTTGAAATGTTCCTGTGAAGGAACATTTGAGTTAATCTGTTAGTCAGTTCTCTCATAAGGGGGACTAAGGGATGCACTCTTTGTATTCAAATGCAGCACTGGAGTTTCATTTGCTGGGGTTTGCAGAGCTCACCCTATGACAGGGGATCAGTGTATGGCAGACAGAGCTGGCAGATTGATTTGACCTCGGTTTTTCTCTCCCTCTCCACTGCCAGATGTTTATCCCATTTAGCGTGACGGATTTAGGCATGTGTGCTGTTCTGTCCATACGTGGCTCCACAAAGCAATTGCCATGACTGAGGTAGACTGAAGTTGATAGATTGTACCCAAATATCTGTCACAGGCCAGAGGAAGGGAGAAAAAGACAGGTCTGAGGAGACAGAGGGATGCATTTTGATGGTGTCCCTGTGAAACAAACAACTAGAAGAGGAATGAGTGGGATAGGCTGTCACATGGAGCTGACATATAGTGATGAGCTGTCAGGCTAGTTTTGTTTTTTCTCATTAACAAGTCCACCTCCTAAATGTCTCTTTGTGTAGCCAGAAAACTCAATTTTGAGCCTCTCCAGTCGACTTCCCCACCATAACATGTTCAGGGATACAAAAAAACAATTTACCATGTGTCAAATGTTGTTGTTGTCAAGGCAACTCTTATGAAGGAGGTGGCGAAAGGTTGGTGCATAAATTGAAAAATGTATCACACCGGAGAGGGCTAAGGCCACACGGTTAATAGGAAACTTTCTTAAACGCTGCGAGTAAACAAGGACATGAATGAGAACCCCATTAACCTCTTCTGTGATTAGAGACCCCCAATCACGAGAAAATGAATGCATCCTAATAACTATGGCCATCAAGAAGAAAAATAATTAATCAGTAAATTGTTATAGAGGCTGTGCATGATTTTGATTGATGTTGGATTTGCATGATTTTGTGTGTCATCCACAGTTTTTTGGACTGGTGGCACCTTTTGAGAGATGGATTTGGTGCTTGCTGTCAGAACATTGTCTGCGACAGAAAACCCTATGGCAGCTGACAGAGCAGAGTGACTGAGGAGGGGGAGGCACCAATCTATTATCCATCATTCTGGGTTTGCGTCACCCACATCACATGCCCCTCTTTAAGTTTGAAACCATGCACACACACACATACACGCAGACGTACACCTGAAAAATAGTCAATACAAGTAGGAAGATGGCCTGAACTCACAGTCAATCTCTGTCTCTCTCATACACACTCACGCTCACACTTGACGAGCTCTAATGATGCTCTTACTCATTCAATGCTGAGTAGAATCTCCTCATTCTGTTGTTGTGATTAATGTTGAAGTAAAGAGCTTGAATCTTGAATAGAAATGAACGTGAGCTAACGACTTATTAATCAAACTGCAAATACTTAAAGCAAATAATGCTTCCGCTTCATCTCGGCAAGGAGACACGGAGCGTAATCCCTCTTTTTCTTTCTCTCTTGCTTCCCCACACAAAAGCGTAAACATTTATTAAATCTATTTTTTCTTTTTTCATGTCAGCCTGCGTGGGTTTTTGTGCCTGTTTCTGTCTTTTCTGTGTGCCACTCTGTGTCAGAGAAGTGCAATGAATGTCTCTGAAGTCTCTGTGTGCTGATAGCAGGGGACAGGTATCATCAGTCTTGGCATCATTGGCAGATTAATGAGAGAGCTGTATTTAGCTGCCCTGTCTCCCTGTCTGACCTACTGTCAGAGAGTTGTTCCACTCTTGTTTCTTATGTGAGTTTTCATTGCAAGCACAACACTAACCTTCAAACTTTTCATATATGTCTGATTGAATGCAGCTGGCGAGACATAGTCAAAGCTATATCTACATATTTAGCACACTGAAGATAATTGTCTTTGGAGTTTGCTGTTTAAACATAGTAAAACAAACTTAACCAACCTCGCGTATCCCCTACAACAAACCTATTTTCCATTGCCCCTCTTGAGCTGTGACCCAGAAAGTACGACATGGCTGGGACACACTAGATAGTCCTGACCCTCTATTTGGGGAACACTGGTCCAGAGCACATCTGTATTCAGCCCTAGCTCTGCACTCATATTGTCAATGGCCAGCTCGCAGACTCCTGAAGATGGATGGAGCTAAAGCCCAGCCTAATAACCAGTCCAGCCCCCCAGGGTGGGTGTAGCACTGCACTCCTCTGTCACCACTGTCTCTATATTGACTTAGGCATTTCATTTTCATGCATTTATATTCATCACCAGACGAACCTTTCCAGCTGCTGTGGTCTCTGGGTAACATCTCTCACACGTTTCCTGTATGTCTGTTTTTGCATTTCTCATTCCGGACCATTAGAATATTTTAGCTCTTTTGCTGTGTAAATCTTCTCTCCCCAAATATATTTCATTTCCACTGCTGTATCTAAATAATGATTGTGTGTCAGAGTTAACCTTACTGTTTTCATAAAAAAACACTTGCCTTTTCATCCTAAAAGGTCTGCTTCTGCCCATGAGGTATTCTCTGTTCTCTGTGCTGTTTTGTATGATTGCCCTGACTCCACTGAAAAACAGTACAATGTCTTTTTTTTTCCAGTAACGGGAATCAGGAAACAGAACACAGAGAGGAGGAATGTAAAGGTCATGGCACATTGGTCATGCCGGGGTAGATAGCGGTAGGATGTTTACAGGTCAAAAGCGCAATAACTTAAGGGTCAGCTCACATAATGCAGAGAATGGAAAAACATTTAATCACACTAAAGTCTGACAATATCCCAACTTGATAGGTTGCCTTTTGAATCTGGCCTTGAACAGAGAAATGGAGGAATAAAGAATAATAGAACTGGGATGCTGCACATGCAGGCTTAACCACACAGAAGAAATCAGGCCACAGGATGAGAGGCTCTCTACAATGTTTTTGGGCTCAGTATTGGTATTGGGCTGAGGCTCTTGAGCTGAAGTAGGCAAGTGCTTGTGTGGTTCTGTGTTGATCATTATCTGAGTGCTGTATGGGTGAGCAACTGCACACACATTTGTGTTATTGTATTCATGCGTTTGTCTGTGTGTGCATTGTAAGGGAGGATGTGCTACAGCAGCAGCACCATTGTTCCCTACTCCCCTCATACTCTTCCTTCCTTCCTTCCCCCCTGGGTGTGGACAGCGAACAGGGACAGATTATTTTCCGCTGCTCCTGTATTTGGAGATGACCTGTGAGAACATAGGTGATGCTGGCTGGCCTGCTGAAAAATAAGGCCAGGTGGTTATCACGGGCCACGTAGCAGCCAGCTCTGGGGGCCATGCTGTGCTGTGCCATGTCACATTAAAGTGCCACTCCTCACCACACCATTAAAAATGACAAATGCTCTCATCAACTGATTTCCCAAGATAGCAACCGCTGCCTTATGCTCCTGAAGCCCTGCATATGCCCCAGTTCATCGGCTGGCCTTTGCCACAGTTGGAACAATTGTAACTGTGAGTCACTTTTCATTTACAATGTGTTTGGTGTTTTTGCTATTGTTAAGGTTGGGAGTTGAATTGCCAAAGGGGCACAAAAGATGGATGCAGTGAAAACAGTCCAGGCTTGTTTTGGAAAAACAGTGTTTGTCCTTTAATGTTTTCTAACAGTGTAAAAAAGGATATACGCTTTAATTTTATACACTACATATTATATGAAAACCCATACTTTTTTCCCCATTCATTAAGTCCTTAAAAGTAAAGCAGGTAAAAAGTATTTGGGCCAGTATACTGTGAAGGGAAAGAACTGAAGTATTAGGCCATCCAGTGGCCCCGGGCTTAACAGGCCCACTCAGGTTGTAGATTACACCACCCCAATTCTTTAGCTCCAGGGACCTTTGGGGACATATCAGCCCAAGACAGGTGTATGGTTCTGGGCCACAGGGCGGAAACTGCCCCCTTCTGCTGAGGAAGACCTCGCTCCTCTGTGTCCCTGTGGGAAAAAGCCCATTGTGTGTACCATCTGTTGCAGCACTCGGGCACACAAAAGGGGTGACAGTGGGGAGGGAGCTGATGTGCCATTAGAAGATGCAGTTGATTTGCTAAAGCTTTTAAGGAATATTCTCATTGCAAATGAGACTAGCATTTGTGTGAATATAACATGTTCATTTTCTACAAAAAAATGGGGTAAAATACCAAGCTCCAGTGACTTTAGGGAGACTTTATTTTGCAAAATATCCTTGTGGTTTTATTTGATTAAAACATAATTGTCCGAACTCCGGATATCATTCATGTATAAACACACTTTTATGGGAAGTGAGTAGGTCATTTGGGACCCTTACCAATTTTTCAAACTGAATTATTTTGTATCCAGAAGTGACAGACCACTGAACTAGTGGACAGCCGTTTAGATGGTCCCTTGTGGGGGCAGGCTTGGCTCTGTATGTGTCTGAGATGCAGTAGTTGCAGTTAACCACGTGGGGGCGATATTTCCCTTCAGTGAAGCGGACGCCGTTTCATATAGGTCAAGGAAAAGTTTTGTGTTTTCACAATGCGAGGGGGCGGAGCGGCGGTCTCTTGATTGGTTAGTGAGTTCAGCTCCCAATCGGTGATTGGCTCCCGCGCTCTAATGGGGCTTTGAGCATGCAATGTTGGGTGTCCCCCACCTCCTCTTCCTCCCCCTGCTCCTCGCACCCCTCAGCCCCTACACTCCGTCCTTCCCAGTCGCTGGTTGTCACACATTGTTTACTACGGCTTGAAATGTGACTCACAACACGGGCTATCTGCTGGAGTACCGCTCTGACAACTGAGGGATTCTTTTGACGCGCACCGTGCGTCTTGGTAATTTGGGGAAAGGCTGTGGAGACTACCCTTCTGCCATGACAGTGGATTTGTTTGCGCTTTTATGCGTGCTGGTCATCACATCCTCTGCGATGGAAGGTAAATAAGAAATTGGGATTAAACTTGTTGTAGGTCTGAAATGCTTCTTCCGAAGGCGCGCTGTGTTGGGGATGCTCGCAGCGGTTTCTGGGGGGCAGCGCTGCGCCTCAGGCATAGGGATACAGGGATGTCATACACGTGGATCGCCGCAGATTGCCGTGGTTATCCCTTGGCCGCTCCGCTGGTTTTCACTGATGTTACTTGTCCAAGTGAATAACCATACTTTAAATGTATTTAATCGCATACGTTAGTTTGTTAGTGGCAGTAAATGCGCTTACATCTGTTGTCCTCACTCTGTGCAATTCAGTTTAATAAGCTTTTTATGACATGAATGTTACGAGGAAAATATTTCCAAAGCGTTAAATAATAACGAAAAAAGAAGAACACACTTTAGTCTTACTCCCAAGTCTTTCTATATAGTAGGCTGAGTGCCCTCTATAAATTGTTATATTAGATTTTCATCCCATAACAATGAGTTTTGCTCAGTAGGAAACGATCGAGGCAATATTAATGCCTGTCAAACCTCCAAGGATTCCTGTCACGTTTTTTCATTAGATTTAACACATCAAATACTGGTATTACAAGCCCTTGAGCACCATTCTGTGGCATTTTGAATTGCTGGGCAAACTCTTAGATTGTGGATCGCACTGATTGAAAGTCTCTCTTTAACCTGGATTGTATGCAAGCGTACATTTTCAATTTTTGAAATCAACCGCTTTATTAAAAAACATCAACAACAAATGCTCAGCTGCCTCTCCCATTTTCTCACTGTCCCTGTATCTTTTTTTCTATCCATCTCCCTTTCTGCCTCTCTCTTTTTTTGTCTTTCTGCATCTCTTTCCTCTTTTCCTTTTTACGCACGTTCATCTGGACAAGCGGCTGTGTCACTAGTAGCTAATATCTCCTCAGTTAAACATGTCTTTCATTTCCGCTGTTGGACCCTGGGGACCGAACACTGGGTTTGTAGCCTCAAACACTGGCTGATGGATGGATATCCCGGCAGCATCATGGATATATATATATATATATATATATATAGTTTCTTCTCTCATTTTATTTTACAGTAGCTCATCCTTTCCAATAGAACAACACACCAGCTTCCCATGGCAGTCTCTGTCCCCTCCCAATAGCATAAATAAGTAAATTAGAAGCACACATAAAATGAGTTTTTTCACATGCAGCTTTTCTGTTTAATCATTTACAACTCTGCTCCTGCTGCTCCCAGCTCCGGCTGTGCTCTGTAATTCGGCGGTGGTTTTCTTTTTTGTGCTCATCAGATTTCAACACCACTATGGAAACTTATAGGCAAGGCCCAAATTGCTACCTCTGTGAGGGATAACTATTTGAAAGTTAAAATGTTTATCCAGTGTGAAATGACTGCAGAAAGTCAAATCAGAGAGATATGTGAGGGACGAAAGGGAGTGGCATTTCCCTGCTAGGAAATGGGTGTGAGATCTGTCCTCCAAAATATGAGATCAGAAAGTAACAGATGGGCTGGGAGATGGCCCCGAAGTTACCTCGGTAACAAGGATAACAGTGATTTCCTTGTTTTGGTCGCTAATTGAAAATAGGTTGTCCCATGGGCAGGTTACAATCTTCACTAATCTGAACTGCAATCTGTTGCTTTTTTATTTATTTTTGTGTGTGTGTGTGTTTGAGTGTGTTTGAGAAGGAGTAGAGCCATTGACCACATTATTCCTGCCTCTCCGGTCAATTTTAATCTGATTACTTGTCTAAATCAGCCAATAATGTCAGAGATCTGTGTGTGCATGTGTGTGTTTATAACTTTGGAGCAAGGAGCAGATATGGATTCATATTTGTGATGAACAGAAAAACAACCTGACTTTCTTACACTCACAGTAAACACCACACACACCATTGATGAACTGCAGGATGAAGGGATAGATGGGTGAACAGTTTTTTGTATAACTTGGATTATTTAAACTGAGCCACACAGTGCCCACAAATGAAAACAATTCCACACATGAAGGCATACAATCTGCAAACATAAATGCAGTCACTGACAAGTTATTGAAGGGGCATTCAAACCTAAAGCAAAGGGCTATCAGCGAGGAGAGGGAAGACAGGGATTTGCATGCCATTAGAATAAGAACCATGTACGATGCTCTGTTTCACCCTCATTTGTCTTCTCTCTCCATTTCTCCCATCATCCTCTCTCTGCCTACTTTCGTCTTCACCTCCCTTTCCCCCCTTGTTTCTCTATCCCACTCTGTCTTCCATAATTCTCCTCACTCGTCTACCCATTCCTCTCTTGTCTCCCTTTTCTCCTCTTTTGCTCGCTCCCTCTTTGGCGTGCGGATGGTTCCTGCCAACAGCAGCAGTAATTCTCCCCTACTTACAGAGCCATTGCTTATTTCTGTTTGCCCTTAAACCAATTAGACTCAGATAAGCCCGCTCATTTAGCGGCCTGGAACTGGGTGGTTGAGGTAAGAGGAATGGAGGAAGTGGGATGAAACAGCGGTTGAAAGATAGACATGGACCGGGAGAGATAAAGAAGATATGAGAGAGACAGATGGAGGGAGGTCAGCTAGTTTTAGAAAAGATACCGTACACGTGTTTTACAAATGAGTAACCTGCAACTGAAAGATGCTTTGGAAGTTAACGAGCTCCACACTGTCTCAGTTATCTGACATTGATACATGCACTGTATAATTGTGCCATTCTACACTGGGGTAAAACGGCAACAGCATTAAGTATACGTCTGATAAAAGAACATTAGTAGTCTGCTGTAACCAGTCCTTAAGGATGCTGTGTTAAGTACCTGTAATTCTTCATCCTCGGGGGCCAAGTGGATGAAATGGAGCATATTGTAGCTTCCTGAATAAACAATAGCTTAAGCATTAGATAATAGTTATGGAGGTCAGAACCATACGCTGTTAACATCAATCAGGAGTGTTTGGTGTGAGTGTTTCATATGGATTAGTAAAGTCAGAGGACAGAGTGTTGAAGTGCATGTTCCAACCCCCATCCGAGCAAGAGTTTGTCCTGCCGAAGTGCCCTTGAGCAATGCATTGACTTAGCTCCAGGGTCTCTGACATCTAACCGACCCACTGCTCGGACCCCAGCGTGGAGAGTTCAGAATCAGCCTCCCGGGATTCATAAATCACTTCACATTATAGTTATTATTTGTTCTAATCTGGCTAGCTGTAAACTGGAATTGAGTTCAAACTAACTTGTTGTAGCCTTGCCGAGCTAACACGAATAATGCCAGTCCACCATCTTGATCCATATATTGTGGTTTGGCGAGCCTGAAAGAGACATTTGCATGAGACAACTGTCAGTTCAAATAGGGTGCACAGTAGATGATTAACAGTTCTCTGCTTCCCTTTAGATATTACCATGAAACCTTCATACACCTGATTGGACAAAGGGACCACGCACTAGGCTGTTATTGATGATTGCTTTGCATTTCTAAACAAGAATTGGGACATTAACAAATGTCACATTTTATCTGAAATATCTACCAAAATCAACAGTTGAAAAATCAAGCTTAATTTGATATATTTGACACCTTGTTAAACACAGTTTATTCTGAGGGGCAAGTCCCATCGTCATATAAAAGTCCTCATGTTGGTCCAACATGTATCGGGTCAGACTGGAATGGTTTGTAATTGCTTCACAGCCTTCAATCTAGCGTTGAAAACTGAGCTGGTAGTAAATAGACTGGCTTTGCACAGCGAGTGTAGTATTAGAGTTAAGAATTCTCTACTACCCGATGATGTGAGTTGTGTGTGCTGGTGAGCCGACCAGCTGTGCAGGGGAGACAGCCTGTGAAAAGAGTCCCGTTGAGTCTCTAATGGATGTGAATGCAAGATTGCTCCTTTCCCCTGCTCCCTCATTTCAAATGGTTAGAAAAGAGAAGAATGACCATATAAGTGCAACATAGGCCCACAGGTTGAGGTAGTAGTACTGTAAAGGCATGAAGGATAGGTGTGTGTGTGTGAGTGCTCACATGAGTGTACAAGTGTATTTTGGCCACGGGCACTACTGCTGATCTGGGACCACCTGAAGTAGAATTCAATTTTACACTCGTTTTGTACCGGGGTGTGTGTATTGTACGTTTGGGTGCCTGCGTCGCACATAGAGTGCTAAAGCCATTATGGCTGGCAGGGGCCGCAGACATAGCCTCATCCCATAATAGAGGCTCTATTTTGTCCACTGTGAAAAGAGTACTTGGTGTTAAGGTGTGCTTACGCGGCCTAGTCAGGTATGACGAACCCTATAGTGAAAACCCTTCCTGCAGCACATGTACCTGCAGTGCTGTAAATGTGTTGTACTGCCTTTTATGTGATCATATTGTGCTTGCAATGCAGGCAATGTGGCAACAATCTGTGTTCTGTGCAGGTCCTTTTTCCTGGATACAGTATAGTTCCTATTTTCTCTCTTGGATGATATTATCACTGGCTCCACAATCTCTCTGTTTCTCTCTCTCTCTCTCTCTCAGACACACAGTCACACATGCACAAATAACGCATATACACGCACAGAGTCCCCCTTACAGCTCACCTTACCCCAGAGACATCTGAGCCTTAGGATGGCCAGATGGTGGATGCAGGTTGGGGGCTGGTATGCATGTGCACATTTTTGTGTACGTCTCAGTGTGAGAATGGTATCAAGGGAGAGTGTCAAGAGAGAGGAGAGCAGCATGCACTATACTGAATGTTCGTATCAGTGTGTCCTGTTCTATTCCATTCCAGGGTCTTGTTTTCTTTCTCTCGCTGAGCCGATATTTCATGTTCTTTACTGTGTTGTCCCCCAGTATCTTCCACACTTTGCTGTGTCCAGAGATTTGCAGACGAGATGCTATCAGCAGTGTAAGGTTCCACCCGTCTTGTTTCGTGCTTCTCCCTTATCGGAGCAGGTGGCTGACTGTGGGACGAGAGCTAAGACCGTATATGTCCAATCTGTGGGATAAGCAGACCCACAGCATCAGCAACATACGAAACACATCAGAGCGCAGGAGTGAGAGCGGTGACGCT